CCTGGAACAGTTTACATGCCAGAGGCTGTGCTCTAAGTATGGAACATCATTCCAGAATCAGCCTGAGAGCGGGTGGACTTCCAGACGACGGTCGGCTGCAGAGGGGCTGGAAAAACAGACCCACCAACCAGTAAAAACCACTGGACTCTATGGTGTCTCATGGTTCAGCACAGTTAGCTTCTTAAGCTTGAACTTCATCATCCAGCGGGCCGTTTTGGCATATCAGAAAGAGCACTGGATGCAAAGTCATAAGGGTGGGGGGAGGTCCTGGTTCTGGCTCTGCAGGTGGCCTGGCTGAATGAGGCTTCCGGTGTGTCCCCTAAAAACTTCTCTTCCCCATCAGCTACCCAGAGTGAGACAGGTGGGGAGCAGATTGACACTGGGTGTTCCTAGTCTGGCTATTGTGAGCAGAGAATGAGATAAAGTAGGTCAAAGTGCTTTGGGGCCTTGAAAACATTACCCACACAGATGGAATTGGTGTTAGGGGAGGGCTAGGGAATCCCCTTCCCTTTCTGGGACAGGAAACGAAGATCTGGAAAATCCATGCCTTTGTTTACATGTAAGAAAGGATTAGAATCCACCTATTTTATATCACTGATGAGGCAAAATAGTTGTGTAGCAAGAATGCTGGCTGTGTTGTCATCCTTATTAGAAGATTAACACCAGGTTTAACCATCAAGTAATGTGACTGATTTTTAAATAAACATACCTAAGTGGGCGTTGTCCTATCCTGACTGGTAAGTAGTCATCCTGACATGGGAAACACTTATTTAAATTAGATTTCTCATCACTTCAAAAAAAAAAAAATTAACTCTTCTTTTGGAATCGTTCCTAGAGCCTCTGGCATAGTCTTTGGAATATGCGAGTCTGAGGGTGACACATTTTTGTCCTTTATGGATAATACTGATTTTTGTAAATAGCCCAAAGTTTTTTGGCATGAAGGTAGGTAAATGAGCTAAAGGATACCATTTTTCTTTTCATTGTAGAAATGCTGTGACTGTAAGATAGGAAGCCTATCTTTCATCCCAACAAAAGAGTTACAAGTAATTGATTTCCAGCCTTGGCAGGATTACGGGAAAGGGACTGTGTCCTTCCTCGAGTGACCACATCAGAGAAGAGGAGTCATTTGGAAAGGGATTTCTACATCTGTAGTCACACCTTCACTATTTATCTTGCAAGACTGTTTGTCGCCAAGACCATGGGTTTCCAGAAAGAATTGAGTGTTGCAACAAATCAACCATTCTATGAGTGCTCCTCTGGGGACATCGGAATCCCTCATTTGCATGTGGATTAACTGGCGAGCAGCAATACAGATGTTTCCAAAGAATTAACATCTGGGTCTTCTGGAAATCTAGCACCCAGCAGATTGAGTTCTAACCAATGGACTCTTTACTCCCTTACAACGTTTGGGTTTTCTTTTTTTAGTTATGAAACAATCTATCTGGAAATTACAATAGCATTGATACCGTTACAATGTAACCCGAATCAACTGCCAGAGTACATTTGCTTCTGATGCAAATATATACCTTACATTGTTATTTTAAAACAAACACAATCACACTGTTCATTCACGGAATATTGGACACTGTGGGTACCTCAGTGTTAAATGATGCCTTTTCTTTTATGGAAAATACTATTTTCCCCACTTTTTATTATTGTGGTAAAATCCGCATAACATCAAATGCATCATTTGGCTATTCTAAAGTATACAGTTCAGGGCAATTAGTACATTCACAACGTGCTACAACCATCGCCAATACCTAGTTCCTAAGTATTTAAAAAATTTTTTAAAATGTTTATTTATTTTTGAGAGAGACAGAGAGAGAGAAAGCATGAACAGGACAGGGGCAGAGAAAGAGGGAAACACAGAATCCGAAGCAGGCTCCAGGCTCCGAGCTGTCAGCCCAGAGCCCAACATGGGGCTCCAACCCACGAACCGTGAGATCATGACCTGTCCTGAAGTCAGACGCTTAACAGACTGAGCCACCCAGGTGCCTCTAATTCCTAAAGATTTTCATCACCCCAAAAGGAAACCCTGTACCCATAAGCAGTCACTCCCCATTCTTCCCTCCTCCTAGCCCCTGGCAACTATGAACCCACTGTTTCTATGGCTTTGTCTATTCCGGACTTTTTTTTTTTTAACGTTTTCTTTCTTTTTTTTTTAAGTTTTTAAAAAAATGTTTTATTTATTTCTGACAGAGAGAGAGAGAGAAAGTTTGAGCAGGGAAGGGTCAGAGAGAGAGGGAGACACAGAATGTGAAGCAGGCTCCAGGCTCTGAGCTGTCAGCACAGAGCCCAACACGGGGCTTGAACCCATGAACTGTGAGATCATGACCTGCGCCGAAGTCGGATGCTTAACGGACAGAGCCACCCGGGCGCCCCATTCTGGACTTTTCATACAAATGGAACCTTACAATATGTGGCCTTTTCTGACTGGCTTCTTCCACTTCGCATAATGTTTTCAGGGTTCATCTGTACTGTAGCATGTATCAGAATTTCATTTCCTTTTATGGGTGAATAGTTCCATTTTATGGATATACTACATTTCTGTTTATCCACTCATCTTTTGACGGATATATGGCGTGTTTTCCTCTTCTGGCTTTTCTGAATAGTGCTGCCAAGAACATAGGTGCACGATTCTTTTGTCTAAATACCTGTTTTCAATTATTTTTGCCACATACCTACGAGTAGAATTGCTGGCTCATATGTCAGTTCTGTGTTTAACTTTCTGAGGACCCACCAAACCTCTAACTCATTTTTATGCTTATAATTTGAAGGTGGCTTGACTATTTTTTTTTTTTTTTTTAATTTCTAGGAGAGAGAGAGAGAGACAGCGTGAGCAGGGGAGGGTCAGAGAGAGGGAGACACAGACTCCGAAATAGGCTCCAGGCTCTGAGCTGGCAGTCAGCACAGAGCCCAACGCGGGGCTCGAACCCACGAACCGTGAGATCATGACCTAAGCGAAAGTCGGACGCTTAACTGACGAAGCCACCCAGAAGCCCCGAAGGTGGCTTGACTATTAAACAGAAGCAGTTGGACCGCTATCGGAAAACCTCAGGCTAGGCCCGACCATGTCTCTCCGAAACTGACCAGAGCAGTCAGACTCGATCGGAGCCAACTTTGTTCCAACTGAGGGTCAGAGGCAGGGCTTTGAACAGCTTTCTCTGCTGCTCTGCGTGTCACGACATGAACTGGCTGGGCAGAAACACCTTCCTGCCTCCCGGGCACCCCTGTGCTTCTCCACGATGCTGCACACACTTTTGGAAAAAGAAAAGCAATATATTAACTGCCTAACTTCCGGGCTTCCCTCCTCGTTTTGCCAATGAGTTCAGATTAGCCTCTGCAGTCCGCATAGGCCTGGTGCGTGGGGGCCGCACCTGCTCCCCTATTGTGGACAGAGGTCAGCCGTTTCATGGTTGGAGAACCAGGCCTCCTAAGCACTACTGAGATTGTAGAGACATGTTCCATCCAGGGTAGACTTTTACCACACACGTCGCCTGAAGGCACCGCCCAGTGATTCTGACCCTGTGGATCCACAGATACAGGAGGTGAACCTGCCCTGCTTTGTATACCGTAGATTGTCTCCCCTATGGGCTTGGCCAGAACAACAGGACATAGTCCTATTATAGCCACCTGTTTACTGAAGCCTATTTACTGAGTCATGAGGCTTCTCAGCTATTAAGCCAACCGGACAGCAAACTGATTGGCACTGATTTTTTTTTTTTTTTCCAATTTAAACCTGAGCCTCTCCCAGTGCTGACCTCTTAACCTCAACTGCCCAACAGAGACGTGGCTTCCCAGCCATAGGGGCCCAAATCAAGGAGCATTACCGCTGTGCTGCCCAGAACAGAGACCAACCAAAACGTCTGTTTCCACCTGAAACGAAATACTGAGAATAAAGAAGCTGGCTTCCCGGGGTCCTTGCTGCACAGTCCCTCTAACACCCCAGCTGTCACTTATCGCTTGTCCCCTGGCAGCCCCTTCAGGTGTCCTGGCCTGAATCTGCTGTCAGGACAGAAAAAAGTCCCTTGGCTGGTCACATCCTCCGTAATCTGGCAGGAAACCTAAAATTTGCCTGTTCCAGCCCTCGGCCTGTTTGCTTATCTGCTTCCTTGTAGGGAAGAGTCTGCTTCACTGTGTCCGGTTTAGGGGGATTTTCACCATGACCTCACCCGCCTGCAGCTCCCATCCACTGACTTCAGAGCGGCTTGGAGGAGCCACGAACGAGCCCTCCTCGCACATCTCGGGTTAACCTCAACTCCAGCTCCTTCTCCCGAAAGCAGAGTCTTTTGCGGGGCCTGAGAACGCCAGAAAGGGTTGGGGGCGTTGGGGAGGGGGGGTTGGTGACGTTTGGGATCATTCCGGGCTTGGAAGGGCCGCGGGTCAAAGAAACCACCTCCAGAAAAGGCCCTAAAACCTTCCAGACTCGCGCCCGCTGTCTGAATCACACCCCAGCCAGCGGCCTCGAAATCAGGCGCGCGAGCCGTGACAGCAGGCGGCGGGCACGTAACCCAGCGGCGAGAGCGGGACGAGAGCCCAAGGGCAGCGCCTGGGAGCTGGTGTCCGGCCTCCGGGCTCCGGGAGGCGGCCCTACTGCCAGCCATCGGGCGCAGCTAATTCAAGGGAAACAGAAAGTTGAGATCCAGCGCGCGCGTGCGTGCGCGCGCGCCCGGACAGGCCGAAGACCACGTGACCATTCACAGTTCCCCACCCCCACCCCCGCGCGCGCGCCAGGCGGCGGCCGCGGGCACGCGGGCTGGAGCTTGACTCGCCGGCCCAGGGCTGGAGCCGGAGGCTGGGAGCGGGGTCCGTGGGGAGAGGCCTCGGCGGGCGGGCGTGCGTGCGTGCGTGCGTGCGTGCGCGCCCCCACGGGAGGCGGCGGGCGCGCGCGCGCCCGGGGGCCACCGCCCCTCCTGGGCCCGCCCTCCTTCCCTCCCTCCCCGGCTCCCCCGGCCCGCCCTGCCCGGCCCGCCCTGCGAGTCACCTCTCTGGTTCCCTCCCTCCCCGGGCGCGCTCGGGCCGCCGCAGCGCTCCCCGCCCTCGAGCCTCGTCGCAGGAGCCGCCCGCCGCCCGAGGAGGAGGAGGTGGAGGGAGCCGGAGGGGCCCGCCGAGGCGGCGGCGGCGGCGGCAAGATGGCGGACTTCCTGCCGTCGCGGTCCGTGCTGTCCGTGTGCTTCCCCGGCTGCGTGCTGACGAGCGGCGAGGCCGAGCAGCAGCGCAAGTCCAAGGAGATCGACAAATGCCTGTCCCGGGAGAAGACCTACGTGAAGCGGCTCGTGAAGATCCTGCTGCTGGGCGCGGGCGAGAGCGGCAAGTCCACCTTCCTGAAGCAGATGCGGATCATCCACGGGCAGGACTTCGACCAGCGCGCGCGCGAGGAGTTCCGCCCCACCATCTACAGCAACGTGATTAAAGGTGCAGAGCGGGCGGGGGTCGCCGCCCGGATCGCTGGCCCGGGCCGGGGCGGGGGGCGGAGGCGGCCGGGCACCGCCCTCGGTCGCTCTTTCCCGGGCGGAGGACCCGGCCCGGCGGGCGGGCGGGCGGGAAGGGGGCGCGCCCACCCTGGGCGGCCGCCCTGCCTGCCCGGGGTGCCCTCGACCCCCACCCCAGGGGAGAGGATGCCCGGGGGCGCCCCGCTATCCCCCTTGCCGTTGGACTGGAGGGTCGCGGCAGGTCCCCTACACCCCGCCTCGCCGCTGGCCTCGCCTCCTCGGAGAGGGAAGTGAGGCGAGCCGGGTGCCTCGGGGTGCGGGGTGACCGCTCCTGTCTTCCTCCGGACGAGGCCGGGAGACCCGAGGGCCAACCCCAGACCCACACACTCCCCCACCCCCTGCCCCGGCGCTGCCTGCCCAGCCTCGCCGCCGGGGGTGGGTGACCCGAGTCACATGGGGTCGGGGCTGCTCCCAATTCCCCGCGCCGCTTCCTAAGCAAGGGAGTTCTGGAACCGTCTCAGTGAGGAAACTTTTGCCTGAGACTTGTCAAGGGCGCAGGGTGACAGTTGCTGGGCCCTTTTGGCAAAGATGGGAAACTTCAGGGAGTCCTGTGTACTGTTCCGGCATCAGGAAAGGGTAGAGCCGTACAGTTAGTCTGAAAAAATTAGCATCAGTGGTTTCTCGCCCCATTGTCACGGTCGGGCAGGATGTTTTGCCTGTAATCACTATACAACACGTTCCACCCTCATTTTTGCTTAATAACTGGGGGCCGGAGGGGGTACGACCCCCCCCCCCCCTTGCTGTAGTAATTCAATGGAGTTGCGTGTTGGTATAAAGAATCTTTGGCCTAAAAAGTGATGCGAAGCCTGTGCAGGTTGAGCCTGCAGACCACTGCCTGCCTGGATCGTAGACCCTGCTTCTGTCTGACAGTGTTTTTGAAAGTAAAGTTTGTTCTTAAGTGAATTTTATTTCTGCCCTTTCGGACAGTTGGCCAAGATGATTCTTATTTCAGCGGTAATTAGCATTCCTTATGCTTAGTATCAAATAGTTTCTACTTTGTTCATGAAAGGCGTCTTGGCAGGTTTGAGACCCAGAGCCGGGGAGTTCAGGTGCATCAGGAAACCACCATCTGGGTAGCAGTTGTCCATTTGCCACAGATTTCAGCCGATTTTCAGGCAGTGTTTTTTTAAGTGGTGTTTTTGTTGTTGTTGTTCAGGAAGTTCTTAAGCAACTCCTTCTCATTCCCCCACCCCCTTTTTTTTTCTCCTCAGGATTGAGTAGAGGAAAACTCCCCGGGAGTGGGGATCCAGGGGCAGTGAGGGGAGGGGAGCACTGGGCCAGGAGCTCAGCCCACAGCGAGCCAGCTCTGAGCACTGGTACCGCTGCACGTGAGCTGTGTAAAATGTTCCTGGTTATCCCATCTTTATGTTGAGCACAAGACTAATTGAGGGCTCTTTCAAGGCTGCAGACTCCGCCTTGCCGGTCCTTAATCGAAAGTACCTTTGTATCCTGATGCAGCCGAACTTCAGGAATTATGTCAATAAATAGTCAACACCTGGCGCTGTGCGCACAGGCCCCTGATGTGACCTACTTTGAACATTGGTAATGAGATGAAGTCACTCACAAGACCTCTACTTCTTTTGAGTTGGCACGATTGGAAGATTGACGGGAAAGCGGTTTTTCAGTTATGCGGACCAGCCGCTGAGTAGTCCCTGTGACTTTCGATGGACCAAAGGTGACAGTGTAGGGATTAGAGATCCAGGGCTTGAACTAACCTCTGCCAGTCGAGTGCTCTGTTTTGATACCCTTTTTGCAGTTACTCTTCCTTCCCGTTAGGGAGATCGGAGGCTCTCCTGTGACTTACACTGATTTGAGGCTTGGTCTGGGAGGAGTTTTTGAGTTTTGAACGTGTTCTTAGAAGACTGGGTGTTGGGTTGAAGCAGAATGCTCAGAACCCTGAGTGATAAGTTTGATTCTTGGCCTTTCAGAAATGTCTTTTTGAGGGGCTCAAAATCTTAGTCGGTGGTGTTTTCAGAGCTGGGAGCATAGTTTCTGTTTCCTCCACCAGCTTTGGTTCTCATGTGACTACCCTCTATTAAGAGCGTATAAAAAGTTATTTTATAAATTGCAACATGTTACAATCCTTGAGAAAGAGCAATTGTGTTTAATAGTATTTGCTTGTCCAGGCTCTTAAGTTCATGACTGTGAACAACCGGTTTTTTAAGCTCTGAGAAGTTGCCTGTGTTTGTTTTTGATCTTCGTCTCCGTTTTGGAGGACTGAAGTTTCAGAAAGTCATACCGGAACAGAGCCAGTGAGAATGTCTAATGACGCCTAGCCCGTCTTTTTCTTTCTTTTTAAACGAAGGTATGAGGGTGCTGGTAGATGCCCGAGAGAAGCTGCATATTCCGTGGGGAGATAACTTGAACCAAGCCAATGGAGACAAGATGATGGCGTTTGACACGCGGTCCCCCATGGCGGCCCAGGGAATGGTGGAAACTCGAGTGTTTTTACAATATCTCCCCGTTATACGAGCGTTATGGGCAGACAGTGGCATACAGAATGCCTATGACCGGCGTCGAGAATTTCAACTGGTAAGAGATTTGTTCTTTTATGTTGTCGTCAGTTTATTTTAGGGACATTTATCGGCAGCTGATTCTAATACGCCTTTTTTCAGCGACTCCCACAATTGAAATGTATCTGTCCAGAATTTCAGCCTCAGAAAATTGGATTGCTGTATAGATGAGCTTCTGACTAAGCAAGATAAGAATACGTTGAACCCCATAGAGTTGATGAAGCAGATATGTTTAATTGGTCATTTTTTATTTTTGCAAATAAGACATTAGTGATTTTCAGGGGTACTTTCTCCTCATTTTATTCTCCTTTTGAAAATAATTTCCTCTCAATTGCCACAATGAAAATCTTCTAAAAGAAATTGATCTTTTACTCTTGCTTGGACTGAGAGGTCAGTAACTGAACTGAGTTGTTCAGATGTGTCATTAAGACTTTGGAGGTACTCATTTTATGGTACAGGTTAATTTAATATAAAGACAGATTAAAGTTCTTTATAACATTTAGGTCTTTGTACTTTTTATTTGTGTTCTCTGTGTGTTTTTAATGTTTCTAAGCACATTTTACAAAATGTTTCTTTTTTAAGTTTATTTATTTATTTTGAGAGAGAGATACAGCATAAATGGGGGAGGCGCAGAGAGTGGGGATGGGGAGAGCGAGAGAGAGAATCCCAAGCAGGCTCTGCACTGTCAGCACAGAGGCCGTTTTGAGGCCTGAACTCACTAACGATGAGATCATGACCTGAGCCAAAATCAGGAGTCGGATGCTTAACCAGCTGAGCTGCCCAGGCAACCCCAAAATGTTTCTTTTTAAAAAAACAAAATAATCTTAGTACACCATAAAACTCTGTAACTTACACAGCACTGAAGGTAGGATAGAAAAGAAAGGATCTGATCAGGGTTCAAGATGCACAAATAATACTCGAAATAGATTTTTTTAATCACTTGTTTTGCAGTTTAGTTATGAATGCTTTGATTGTGTTCTGGGTTTTATTTGCCAAAGACTGGAAGGATCCCAGGGTTAATAATCTAGGCCGTATGCAGGTTGGAGGCGGTGCAGATTTGAAGTGTTTTACCATACTGCGATCCAAAAAAAAAAAAAAAAAAAAAGTGACAGTTAAAAGTAAAACTGCTTAGAAAGTGGTTTGATGATGTCATCGGCCTTAAAGGGATCCACGCTGTTGGGTGTGGCTCCAGGATGACGTGCAGCTGGCCGTCTTTGCTATTTCAGTTCTTGCTCAGAAGCCAGTCTTGCTTGTGAAAAGTTCTAGATACGTGTTCGTGATAGCTTTTTGTAAGACTGGTCCCAAGTCTTTATTTTCTTTGCATTACGGTTCTCGTGGACACCCTGAGCACTTGGTACATACGTGCCTCACCAAGTCCCCTTGTCTGGAGCGTGCATGTGGGCTCCAGTAGTTTGTCCGTGAGCGGGAAGCAAAGCGTGTGTCACACGTTTGTTAATATGGAGGCGTTGGCAGCGTCACATCCTGGTGAAAACCAGGAATTTCACTTGACAGGTGCCCTCCGCCCAGTTCTCGGACTTGCGTTGGAGTTTTGTCCCAGTTAGTGTTTGTTACTTGATAGTTCCTCGCTACACCCTCCTGTCCCTTGTCACCATCCCTCCTGGTGTAAGTGCTCTTGCTCTCCTTTCTTCCTAATTCATTTTGTTGACAAATCACACCTTCCCTCCAAGGTTTCTCCAGTGTTATTCATCCTTCCACGTCAGGGAAGGAACCTCCGTCTGTAAAAGCATATGGGTCCTATTGGTTGGATGAATAAGTAAACAGCTATACTCTAAGTTTTCTCTAGGAAAGTTCCAGAAGTCCATTTAATTGAAGTTGGGCTCCACTGACATTTGAATTGGGACATTTACATCTGAACAGTCAGGACTGCAGGTCATCCTAGTTGAGGACACATTCCTAAGCGTCCACCATTCAGAACAAATTGTAAAACTGCCCGGGACCCGCATGGTCTTGACCCAGCTGATGCTTTGTAGCAAAGAAGGCGTCAAGCACAAGGAGAGGCAAGTTCCAGAAATACTTGTTTTCCTCCTAAAATGTAGGGACAGAAGAAAAGCGGAACAGGGATAGATGTAATTTTTTAAAAATGTTTATTTATTTTTGAGAGAGAGAGAGAGTGACAGAGACAGAATGCAAGTGATGGAGGGGCAGACAGAGGGAGACCCAGAATCCAAAGCAGGCTCCAGGCTCTAGGCTCTGAGCTGTCAGCACAGAGCCTGATGGGGGGCTCGAACTTATGAACCGTGAGGTCATGTCCTAAGCCGAAGTCGGATGCATAACTGACTGAGCCGCCCAGGCGCCTTGGAGAGATGTAATTTTAAACCCCTGGAGGAGGAGTTTTTTCCTGGGTGTACTTGGCGTTGTTGATGGTACCTGGCATGTATAGAAGGTGCTCCATTATCGCACTGAATTAATGACTCTCAAGACTTATGGAGGCTTTGTGGTGTTTGGGGTAGCTGCGTTGGGCCCTCGGAAGGCAGCTGGCTCATTGACGTTTCCCTCACAGTTCTCTTCAATTCTTCTTCTCTGCACACAGAAGCCCCTGAGTCCTGTCTTTTCCACCCCCTAGATAATCTGTGTCCGTTCCCTTCTTTGATCCTTTACACTGATTTCTCAGGGCCCCTTGCGCAGACTCCCTGGTAATCTTGTGCAAACATAGCGTGGGTTTGTTGGGAGAGCTATACTCACTCTCCGTTACGTCCAGAATAGAGTTCAGCCTCCTTATTTGAGTCAAGACGAGCTAGCTTCCCTGTGATTCAAAAAACATGTTCATTAGACTGCCTCACACACCCTATAACCTGTCGATTTCCACATACCCTGATCTGCTCCTTTGGCTGTCTTTACAAGGTCTGCCAGGGATTTTCATTATTGTATCTATTTATTAGCCTTACCCTTGACCTAGAAGAACAGTAATCACATTTTAATGTGACTAAATGTGGTCCCTGGACCCCTTGCATCAGTGCTTGTCTAATACAAAACAAAACAAAAATGGCCCTAGACCCCACCACAAGAGGGTCTGATTCAGGAATCTGGGAGGTGGCCCTGTGATGCGTATTTATCTGTATCTGGCAGTCCGGGAGCCATGGGGATGAATTTGCTCCTCGGCCCCCCTGGGGAGCGGCGCCTCAGGGTCGTGGCTTTGTCCAGTCCTCCCAGCTGGGACACGCGGCTCCCTGGCCTGTCCTCTCTCCTTGGTATGCCTGCCGCTGGCCCTCGGTCGCCTGTCCTCACTCGTGGGCGCTTGTATGTGGTCCTCCCACTAAAGTAGACGCTCTCTTGGCGCGCCTTGTCTGTCTTTCTCACTCACCAGCATAAGCCTCTTATTAACTCATTTTTAGACATTCTAAGGTTCTTCTAGAAAAAAAAGTAACTTCTCACGTTAAGTTTCTTCTGGGAAATAGGAATCATTTCTGTACGTAGTTTGTTAATTTTTCTAGGAGATGGAAAGTCCTTGTATTACAGAATCATGATTTTTCTTTTTATGTTTAGCAGTGTATATTCTTTTTTAAAAATATTGTAAATGTTTTAATTATTTTTGAGAGAGACAGAGAGTGAGCAGGGGAGGAGCAGAGAAAGAGAGGGAGACACAGAATCTGCAGTAGGCTCCAGACTCGGAGCTGTCAGCACAGAGTCCGACACGGGGTCAAACCCACAAACTGTGAGATCATGACCTGAGCTGAAATCAGATGTTTAACCGACTGAGCCACCCAGGCGCCCCTAGCAGTGTATATTCTTGAATTGGATAGAAAAAGTAAACCTTCACAGGGAAAGGAAAGAGCAGATGAATAAAACTAGCCTTTTTTGTTTGTTTCCAGTGATGATTGATTATTAAATTTACTAATGCAAATTGATTAATGCAAAATGCAGAAAACAACTGGGAACAGGTTTTAAGCCTCTTTTTGGCCTTTTTGCTTCAGATGAACAACTGCCTTATAATCAGCCTGTGGAGCAACGGAAAGGGTAGTGGTGTCACAGCTTAGGTTTTGAGCCAGCCATTCATTTGTTAGGAATAACTTCGGGTGCAAACATGAATGTTTTCTGTCCCAGGCTCCCAAAGGCAAACATTTCCTTTTCTGGTTAGTTTCATTATGGGTAAGCCAAATAGTTTACTGTGGAAAAAGAAAAATCCAAGATTTATACTGCTGTTCTAGCTTACAGCACCTTCCTAATTCTTAGAAAGGAGCTCACAGCATAATACGTCGTACGAAGTGGTCCCGTTTAGGCCGGGTTAAATATCCGGATGTCGTGCGCCGGCTGTACGCTTACGGGGCCTGTCACCACACAGATGAGCTACCCTCTCTTCGGAAAACCTTGTGTGACCGTAGTTGGGGAATTTGGTGACTTCTAGGACTGGAGATGGGAGACATGGGTTGGCTGGGAGCTGATATAACTGGAAATGTGGAGCAAACCTAACAAAACGGCCAGGAATCAGTGCCAGTTAATTGTTTTGAATGTTTAATCCACAGTTTCTTATTCAGAAACATAAACACCGTTAATAGACCTGGTTATATAGGGCAGGAAAGTGGGAGTGGGAGGGACACTCCGGAGCTTCCTAGTTTCTATAAACATCTTGACTTGTCAGCATTAATACAGCTTCCTGTAATGACCAGTCTTTCTTTGCAATTCCTGAAACCAAAGCTGTTTTGTTTTTTTAAATCAAAGTACCTTCAGTTGGACTTAATTTTTTTTACCCAAATAGTACAGTTTGTGCTTGATGATAGTTACACTTCTCCAAGCTGATGAGGTAGTTTATCCATTCAGACAGAGCTTCTCTCAGTCTGTGTAACAGAGTAAACTATTTAGCCTCAGGCTTTGACCCGGAACAAGGAGCTGACTGCTGAGTAAAATAGGAACTTCAGTTTGGGCTAAAATATTTATTTATTTGTATTGCAAAAATGGATTTGAAATACTATAGAGTTCGAGGCATTGGTTGATTCTTGAATGGTAATTTGGGTCGGGTTTAAAAAGTGAGTCAAGGGGCACCTGGGTGGCTTAGTCTGTTAA